AAGTTGAGTTTCTATGAGAAATAAACCCCCATTTAAAAAACATTTCCCAAAAAAATAATCATTTCGGGAAAGTACAAGTTTATTTGCTTCAAAAACTAACTTAATGCTTGTTTTATTCAGAATTCTACCACTTATTAAGTTTCTACTATATAGGTACATACAGAACATTGTTTAAAGCTAAAGTTTTACCAGAAGTTAGCTTGAGTAAAACTTTGCCTTTACCCAACACTTCAGAACTGCTAGAGTTCCCCATGTACACTCGTTCACCTCCATTCTCATCCTCAAACTTGGTGAAAAAATCCTTCCTTGCGCAAAATTGTTTGGAAGTGCCAATATCAACCAGTTACTCAAAACTATTCTCCACCAGGTTGACTTCAGAAACCACCGCAGCAATGATGTCATCATCCTTCTCTGCAACATGCATCTATGGCTTGTTTTCATTCTGGCGGTCTAAGCAATGTTGCATTAGTAGGATTTGTGACCAGCTAGACCATAACACTTGAGCATCTTTCCATCAGATTTGGTCTTTCTTGGCTTCTTGAAATTCATGCCCTTTTGAGGTTTCACCTTTTTATTCGGATTTTGTCATTTCATGGTCTTTTTGAACTTATACCCTGAGACACCACTAGTTGCAATCAAGTTAGACTTAAAAGACATATTATTAAAGGAACCTATAACCTTACCCTTTCGACAATTGGCCTCTTCGATCTTCATGTGGGCCACCAGCTCCTCAAGTGAAATATCTCACTTCTTATGATTGAGAGTGTTTCGGTAGTCAGACCAGGACTTGGATAGCTTTTCGATGAGCGCATTGTCCTGGAGTACTTCACACATTTTCATTCATTCGGCAATGATGTCGACCACCAGATTCTTGTAGTCATGGACTTAATCTATGATTGGTTTATCGTCCTTCATCTAGAATTTGAGCCATTCTCTGACAACATATTTCTTTATGCCCATATCATCAGTGTTGTACTTCTTCTCCATAGTGTCCTATATCACCTTGGCATTTCTTTCTCTCAAGAACATGCCGAACAATTTCTTATACATGTGACTGAGAAGATGTCCTCACACAGTCTTGTTGTCCTTTTCATATTTTTTCAGTAGTAGCGGCAACCGCAACAGCGACTAAGGCGGCATCAATTGGGATCGCATCGGTATTATCTCCAACAACTAGGGTAGTAGGCGGCATGACACGTGGTTGCAATCTAGGTCAAGCTGCTCGAAAAATATTAGTATCCGCTGGGACCAACTCCGGTAATTTTTTCCATCAAGTGTGTTGAGCTTGGGAAGGTCGGGGATCAGCTTGCTCAAAGGTGATGACATATTTGTAATATATGAATTCGTTTCTAAATTGTTGGTAATATTGACTGCAAAATCACACGTTAGCACTGACTGGAAAATAAATAAATAACTTGAACCAACTGAAATCGTGTCGTGGTGAAAACCACTACCTTAAAAACTAATTCGCCCCAATGTGTGTAATTGGTCCAATAGGCCCCGAAGTTAGCACAGTCACTCCAAATTCCATACACCATAACCGAAGTGAACTACTGGTGGTATTGCTCCTTTGATCGTCGGAAATTTCTTAGTAGATGTGAGAGTTTTTTAGAGAATTGTTTGTTGAATGAGTTATTGTGGGATGAGTTGAGAAGCAAATGAGCTCTCTATTTATAGGATGCATGTAAGGGTAAAATCGTCCAACATAAATCAGATATAAAAATTTGATTTTATTTCTGCATTAATTCTATGCCTGAAGATGTTATACAAACGAATGAATTTGGCCTCAATTCTGTCTAGGTTTGTGGATTTAAATCCAACCATTTGTAACTCATGCAATAAAGCTTTGTAACTCTTGCATTCATTCTGTAAAGCATCCTAAACATAGCTGATATTAGTCCAGGTTCATCCAACTTTTATAGATTTGAATTCATACAATGATGTTTGAATTTTAAATTTCAGAAATTAAAAGAAAGCTAATTAATCTCAGTTGTTACTCTCTGAAAATATAAAATTCGAAAAGACTTTGTATCCTATAAATACCAGACAAATTCTTTCACATTTTTTATTTGTTCTTTAAGAAAAAATTTCTTACGAATTTTCTCTAAAAAAATAGTTTTCACACAAAGCAAATAGCCACAAACAACAGTGGCAATGCTTAAAAGTCCCCTTATTCTCTATCACTCAATATGAAAGTGGAGAATGTAAACCTTAAATATCAATCCCAATGTATTTCCCACTCAATGTGGGATTGCGAGTTTCCAACAATAGGTGTTCCGTTATAATCGGAGGTGACTTTAACACTATCAAAGATGAGAATGAGATGACTGGGCTGAGTGTCAACTCTGGTGCGATGCGAATCTTCAATGATTTCATTTCGAATTGGAATTTGGTGGATCTTCCTTTATCAGGGAACTGTTTTACTTGGTTTAAAGGATGCGAGTCAGTGGCAGCAAGCAAACTGGATAGGTTTCTTATCTTGACTGAAGAGATTAATATGTTCCTGTTGTTGATTCAAAAAACCTTGGATAGAGTGCTGTCTGATCATAATCCAGTGTTGTTGAAAGAAGAAAAGTTGTTGATGGGATCTCGTCCATTTAAATGGTTCATCTATTTGGGGATGATATAGGGTTTGTTAAAAAGGTTAAATCAGCAAGTTCTAAGTGCCAAGGGAAATGAATTAATGTGATGCTCAAAGAGGTAAAGTATGCAGCGAAGGAGTGGTGTAAAGTAGCTCGTGAAATGAACCAAGAATCAATTGAAGCAATAGAAAGGAAGATTTCTGAATTAGAAGGGGTGGCATTATCTAATGATAATAACAGTGATGTCCTTAGTGAGATTCATGTCTTGAAGGCTAAATTATGGTCGAAGCTTAGACGAGAAGAAAGAGAATGGTTGCAGAAGTCGAGATTCAAGTGGTTTAAGGAGGGGTCAGAGATATGAAGTTCTTCCACTTAACTTTCGTAATGAGAGGTAGATGCAATCATATCTCGTCATTTCGGGAGGGGAATATGATGATAAGTGGGCAGTAGAAAATTTCAAAGACGTTTGAAATCCATTTTCATAAAAGCTTTAATGACGTAAAAACAATTCAAGTGTAAGGATTTGATCTTCATTTCAAAAAGTTGAGCTGCCAGGAAGCACTATTTTTAGAATCGAAAATTTGGGAAGCTATTACATCAGCCGACCAGTCACGCGCTCCTGGCCTGATGGATTCAATATGGATTTCTTTAAACAGTTCTGACACTTAATCAAAGGAGACATCTTGGATTTTTTTTCTGAGTTCTATAGGGGTAATTTGAACGATAAGACTCAATCATTCATTCGTCAACCTTATCCCGAAGAAGAGTGCTCCGGAATGTGCATATGACTAAAGACCCATCTCGCTCGTGGGGAGTGTATATAAGATCCTAGCTCAGGTTCTATCAAGAAGGCTAACAGGGTGCATTAATTAAGTCTTGAACAATTGTCAGTTTGAATTCATTGCAGGGAAACAGAGTACAGATTGCTCGTTAATTGCAAATGAAATTATCGATAAATTTAAGCGAAACAATAAAGAAGCAATCATTTTCAAAGCAAACTTTAGGAAGAGCTGTGATTCGGTTGATTGGAATTTTTTGGGATTTGTGTTGAAGAAGATGGGATTTGACAAGAAATGGAGAAAATGGATTAACCTCTACGTTTCAACTCTATTAATTTCTGTTTTGTGAATAGGTCCCTGTCGAATAGGTTCACTATTCAGAGATGGTTAAGGGTTTTGGTATCTCCTTGCTATTCAACCGAGTTAGAGAGGCGTTGAATGGGTTGTTAGTTAAAACTACACTAATGTAGGGCTTTATAATGCGGTGGTGGTTGGTAAGAGGGAGTTGTGTATTTCCGATATCCAATTTGCAGATGACTTAATAATTTTCAGAGGCTAATGTTGAGATGGTAAAGAACATAAAGAGGTTATTGAGAGTCTTCGAAGTTATTGTGGGTCTTTCGTTAAACACAAAGAGACTAAGCAATATGGTGTGAATATTGAAGATAGCTGCATTAAGCTATAGCAGTTATTGTTGAATGTTTTGGTTTAAGGAGCTTATTGTCTCTGTGTTTTCGACATTTCATTCCTTGATTTGTGATTTTCGCATGGTTTTTATTGTGACTTATCTTCACTGTGTATTTTTTTCTTAAAGTTGTTTGGTTGTCGATTGTTTGTTCTGCAGAATCGGAGATTCTAGACCGCTAGCTTTGGTGTGGTTTTTGCTCTCTTGTTGCCTGTAAAGTTGTTTTTGGATGATAACCGTAGCCATAGCGCACTCTTTTTTCTCCATTCAAGATTAGGGAAGTTTTTTAAAGAGGTCTATGATTGCGTTTTGGGACGTACGAGTTAATTCAATAAAACCACACAAATCTTTTCTCTTTTTTTTAAAGGAAAAAAACTCCCTAAATTTGTTCTAGATATTATAATCAAATCTAGAGGATTACGAAGTTCATGAATGACTAAGTTTAAGATTAGAAACTTAATAACAAGAATGAGTGTTTTTACTTCTACAACATGATGAGTTTAACAGTTAAAAGATATAGATAAAAAAGCACTATTAAAGTATTGAAGATAAGCTTAGTTTGACAAGGTATGATTAAATAAGCAATTTAAGGTTTGAGGTCTTTTATTATATAAATTTTGCCCATTTATAGAAACATGGAATTATGTAAAATCTTTGCTTATTAAAGGTATGAAAGATATGCTCGCAGTTTAACGAACATATGGAATGTAAATCTCCAAAACACAAAAATAATTCATGCCACAGTCTACTAAATCAATAGAAGGGAAAAAATTAAAAAAAGTACCCAAAAAATGGTTAAAAAAGTTTAGGGTTATAAGCTATCGAATATTACAGTGAATTAATCATTTTTTCTTAATTATTGTTGGTACAAAATATATGCCATTGTTAATTGAGGAAAGTATTGCTAAGCCCTATTGACCATTACTTACACCATAAATCATAATATTATATTTAATGCAAAAAAAGTAAAAATAAATAAAAATAAAAACCTCGATTACATTACAACCTGCATTTATTTGAAGACAATATAAGGTGTAAAAGATTTTTGATCTCTAAAGCTGTTCCTTATATGAATATGTCTTCTTCATGGGACATAGGCAAACCTTTTAGCACGTCTCGTAAAGCGTACAAATGGCTATCGCACCTGTGATCCGATATTAAGTTGTTCGACAGTACTATCCTCTGGAAATGTTCCCCTGGATTTCTCCTCCAAAGTGTGAAGTACTCTTGGCCCCTATTATCACCGCTTCCGGCATCGGTTTCGACGTTTCTCTTCAGGTAGTAAACGGTCCCGGGAACAAATAATGGCACGTTATAGGCACCTTTTAGTACGGCAACGTTCTTCGTTTCAAATTTAGACGCCTGAGGAACAGATGTTGCTTCTGTTTTTGTGGCACCATCTGTTTTCAAATAGTGCATTTGTTAAAGGAATGCACAAAATAGTAACTGAAATATAAAAGCAAATTCGATTTGGAAATTCTTTGGCCTAAAAGTTACAAAGATAATGCATGTTAACTTCATAGATGTAAATAACCTGGCACTTGAATCTTCTCTTAAAAACTATTAGAGCTTGCTTTTATGTGTTATAGATGGGTATAGAATAGGTAATGTGATATCCATTGTACTTGGTTGCTACAAATGGATAATAGTTTCCAACACTTACCGGAAGATTCTTTTTTACTATTAAAATGCGCATAATCAGAAAGTTTCCGAGCTACGTCTTGTACGGAAGACACAACCAGTTTTGCATTTGTAACAAAATCTACTACAGTTTTCCAGTCTGCTTTCTCCACTACACTCATCCTGTTAAGACAGAAGCATGGGATTAAATTCTCATTGTGACTAAATCGAAGTTTGCATATCAATCTATCTTGAAAAACCAAAATACCTTAATCCGAAAAAACAAATGTCACTCTATACAAGATATGTAATAAAAATCGAAACATAACAAGAAAGATCAGATTCTAGCTGTGGGTTATTCTACTCTAGCTATACTGTTACATTTGAGTACTCTTTCTTCCAACATCGACAATGTTATTTAGCAGCATGGTTATTTGTCGGACCAAGTTATCCAATCGAGTGTTTAGGGATAGGACGTCAATTTTAAAAACTGACACACTTGAGTTGAATTAGCATAAAACTTGAGGAATTTTGTGGAACTTACCCCAAAATGTGAAGAGTTTGCTAACTCTAACAATTTGAATTCAAGCTAATACATAAATGCAAGCACTTTTTATGAAAAATTTTCCCTTGACATCAATGATAAATTAGGTTGGTAACATTTCGGTTACTCTGAAAGCTTTTGTCCTCCAAGTACCTTACATGTTTGATCTCAAACTCATTAATGTAATTTAAAGAGGAAACTTCACATGTTCATTAAAAGACATTTGCCTGCTTACCAGTCTGTTTGAAGAATTTCATTCCTCAGCTGTGCTAGAGATGCTGCACTTAATCTAGGCACGATGTCATCCTTTATGGAACGAGAAACAAAGAGCATTGGGAAACAGAAGTCGAAAGACATACAATATGGAAAACTACTGAACTGGGGAACCCAATTAATACAAGGAAACGTTCCAGTGCTAGAGAAGCTTCTTCAATGTACAAGTAGAGGAGTTGGGTTACCTGCATTACAATGGTTGTGACAAAATCAGAGCAGGTCTCAGCAAGTTCTTTGGATACACAAGGAGGAGTCGCAAATCCAACAGCAGAGACGATGTCAGGGCTAAACCCAAGTTCCTTTTTTGACTTCTTCCGAAGCATAATTGCCAGTAAAGAAGCCGTCGCAGCTCCAAGTGAATGCCCCACCAGCCTTAACCTATATCCCTGTAAATGAAGTAGGTTCACTACGACAACAAAAATAGAACTTGGGTTTAAAATTAACAAGTATATCGGTATGGGAAGCAAAGGACAGGAACGCTTAGAGAGGCCTAAAATGGATTAAATCTTTTATTTATTTTTTTTGCGGAAGTCAAGCAATTTATTATTGCCGTGAATGGTTTGACGTTAAAAGAAAGCAAAACCATGATTGAAATACCACAATAAAGCTATAACCCTTAGGTCAAAGCTTAGAACCAAATTGAAACTCTCTAAGAAAATGATTCTTCAATCCACTTATGGAATCCCTAATTTAGCACATCAGCCCTTAATTAGCAAGCCAAGAAAACACATCGTTAGATAGGGAGGAAAAAAAAAACAAAAATGAGACCTAACTACAGATTATACATTATAAAACGTCCATCTATAAACGCTGTTCCTCGGTACACTACTAAACTCCAAACCATAAATTGTTCACAAACTGGTACTAAAAAAAACACCGAATAGAAACAACAGAGATATCCAAAACAGACCAATTAAAATCATAGAGAAAAACTTAACTGTTGCCTTAATTGGAAAGAGATGAATCACCGCAGATTTAGCATCACCAACTATTGATGCTCCTATCAAAGAGGCTATTCAATTTCAACCACCCGCCCAGCCCCCATATTGATATTGCTCATCACTCCTAAGAACCACAGCCTTATATTCATGGGGGTACTACTACTTTACTGATCTAAATTAATGCTTGTAAGCCGAATTTTAAGTTTATATACATATAAATTGAAAGAGAAACAACAGGCAAGAAAATTCAAAAAGAGCTATACAACAAATGAAGGTTAGGCGATGATACTTTTCCAGCATCATTAAAATGATCACATTTACAAGCTCATTAAAATTTTGAATGGCTTAAACACCCTAAATGGCACTAAAAGTAATCACTACACACATTATTACCACTTAAGAATAACATCTACTGATCCAAAAATTGGACAGAATCCGGATCTGTCTGCCTACTGCTTATTTGCGTGTGCGTTTCATTCATTCATAGAATCTAAAAACAAGAAGATTTATAGGTACACCAATCCTTATAGGCAAAGGTTTTCCCCAACAACAATACAAAACCTTTAACTTCAATTATTTTCTCCCGATAGTTGATTATAGCCAAAGAACAAGAAAGGTTGGGAAGAAAACCAGCCCAGTTAAATGTAATGCTTTGTTTATAAACAAGTATCTTCCATAAAATGAGAGCTAAATTCTCTGTATCTTCTACTAAAGTTTTCAGAATGCAAATTGTAAAGGGCTAGAGTTTCGCAGTAGAAACGTTATTCATAGTTCACTGAAAATGTAAGCCACAAAAAAGGGTACAATGACAGAATCAGAATGCAGAGCACCGTGATGATAGAAATAAAGGACACATTTAATCATTCATTATGAACCAAAAAACAAAACTAGGGTCTCCAATGATTCAAAGCTGAATGAGTAAAGCATAAGGCCTTACAAAGAATACAGCAAAAATGAGTAGAGGTATTTTCATGTCACTTAGCAGAAACAATAATGATGGTAAACCACACAAGTCTTGGAACAGGAAATTTTCACCCATAATGCTTAGTATATTTTGAAGAAGATAAAAACAGAAGAAAAAAGAATGTATTTGAGGAAAGAAATGTATTTCAGCAACTCATTAAGATTCAGGGGTACCAAAGTATGGTACAGAGCAAAAGTAGAGGAATTTTCATGTCACTTTGCAGCACCAATATTTTTGGTAAACCACACAAGTCTTGTAACAGAAAATTTTCACCCTTAATGCTAAGTACTCGAAATATATGTTTCCATGAAAATTACAACAGAAGCACAGGAAAGTATTTAAGAAAAGAAAGACATGTATTGCACATGGCATTTATTTATTCAACAATTCATTAAGATTCAGGGGTAACCAATTAAGGTAGAGTTAAAGTCAAGAGAGGAGGATGCTTTGAGATTTATAAGACAGTAAGTTAATCACCTCATATTTCTCCAAGCACTTCCTAATTGTCCCTATTTCATGCTGAAGAAACCATCCAGCAGATTCAGCTGTGCCAAAGTGAGTTGAGTAGCCTTCAAATGTAACATCCCCATCACTTGATGTAACAATATCAGTAAAAAGGTCATAAGCGGTATGAGTTCCACGGATTCCGAATATTACAAGTTTCCTTCGAGGATCAATTCCTATATAATATCCGGGCCTCATTACACTAGAGTCCTTTACGAATTTCAAAACATTGCTTTCTCTAAGCATGCTGGTCCTTGCAAGGATGGCAGCATTGCTCTTATAACATCCTCTTGCTAATTCCATATGGTATATCAGATCTTGGACCTGCATCACAAAACCATCTTAATAAGACCCTTTATCATATCTACTAAAATAAAATAAAACCTTCTCCAGATACATTTAGTGTGTTCAGCAATTACAATGGAATCTGATGTTATCTTCACACCCTTAACATCCTCGAACGGATTCAAAGATGCCTGACGAAGGTAAATAAGATATAGGCCTAGAGTAAGATCACTCAAGCTCCAACCTTCAATGACAGTCTTACTCTTCTGAATGCTAGATATGATTTCTGAGACTGATCGAGTGCTGGACGGGAGCTTATCTCCTACGTCATTTCCTGCATATACATGTTCGATATAATCGACCCTTTTAGCCATAAAACCAAAAAACCAATTGCTACTCAAGATGCAATGAAACTTCATAGCTACCTAATTTATAATTCGAGTATGATCTTGAGTTTCGAAAAAAAACTAATAATGACAATGCAGTGATCAACTTAGCTAAAACAAGATTCTGGGACAAGAATCGACATAAAACAGACCTATTGGCAGAGCCCACCTACACAATTGTAGAGCTGGTTCAAGAGCCTTTGTGAGCCAAGCAAGCTCTAATTTCCACTTGGTATTATCAACATTATCTTCATCACCGGAACTAAACTTGAAAAACCTGGTATCGGCATCGGATACGGCCTTCTTATCAACTTCAGCCTTCAAAGAAACTTGAGCCACTGTTTTTGCCTCTTTCTCTTTATTGAGTTCTTTCATTCCATCTGAGTTTGACCATTGTGACTGACAGCGGTTAAGTATACCATTCACAACTCTACCAAAAAGTTTCTGCCTTCTAATCAAAATGTTCGTATTATCTAAATCCACAAATAAAAAACCAAGAAATACAGTATCAAAATAAGAACAAAAAGATTGAAATTTTCCCTGTAAAGTTTCAAGAAATTTTACTCTGTTTGCATCACAACTGCAGAGAAAGATGAGATTTTTACTAAAGGTCTGGTTTTTAAAGAAGAAAAAAACAGGTAGAAAATGCATTAGAAATGACAAAAGTGTGAAAGGTTTAAGTTTTAAATAATTGATAAAGAAGAGGTGAAGCATACTTACAAAGCTGGCGAAAGAAGCGTTTGCAATATTGATTAGCCATTAATGAAGATACAGTTAAAGAGAGAAATGGGATGTTCTGGTAGTGAATTTAAACAGTGGTTCTGGACGAACTTCAGAGGCGGCGCTTGGCCATGCTCCGTGGCGGCGAGCACGTATTTCTGAGACTGATTTTGGGCCCATTAGTCTTTTTTAAATCAGAGAGTTTGGGCCATAAGTCAAATAATACTTTTGGACCTAAAACTACATTCAACAGTCTTCTAAAGTTTCAAAAATAATTTGATCGATAATCTTTTAGTAGAAAAAATAAATGGGTATGTACATACAATGATACAAATTATTCAATGACATGGCACCATACATGAAGGGATGGCATGGGTTGGGTCGAATCAGATATTTGGTCGATCAGACCCGAGAAAAATAACTCCTCCACCCCAAACCAGATATGCATGAAATAAGATTTCAGCCGATCCGAATCCAACTCTATTTATAGTTTATAAACTCGAACTGAACCCGATCAGATTTATTTTTTTATTTCAAAAAAACAATAAAAATATTTTTTAAATTAAAAAAAACAACCAAATTATAATAAAAACAGTATGCAATCTTTAGTGAAGGTAAAGTGATGGTTTAAAGCAATAGAAATTCGAACCCTACAAAACAAACTGAAAAAAGTTCTCCGATCTCCGTAGCAGTTTATGGGTTCCATAAATAGTATATTTTTCACATATTCAAAAGAGAAAATAATCTCAGTGACCAAAAATCCTTTATAATATACGATTTTAACCATTTTTTTTTTTTGGATTTGCCAAAATGACCAACTAAATCGCAATGCGATCGATAATTCGCAACGCGATCTCCGGTACGCAAAAGTTTCCAGATTCACAAACGCGATTCTGACTATCGCATTGCGATTTTCCAAATTCGCGTTTGCGATTTCCTAATTCGCAATGCGAATACGTAAATCGCAACGCGAATTTGGAAAATCGCAATGCGATTACGTAAATCGCAATGCGAATACGTAAATCGCAATGCGAATACGTAAATCGCAATACGAATATATAAATCGCAATGCGAATCTGACTATCGCAATGCGATTTACATAGCGCCATTCGTATCCAACGCGTATTTTTTTTTCAAATTCCAAACACGAATATATTAATATATCGGAATACTGAACAGTCCACAGTATATCCGTAATCGCAACTCATAACCTAAAACCCTAAATCACAACTCAGTCTCATCTCCATCTCTCACTCTCTAAGGCGACATCCGTCCCCATCTCCGACGAAATCAGTCCCCATCTCGACGATATCAGTCTATCTCCGCGAAATCATTCACGGTCAGAAATGGAAAATCAATCAAATCAACCACCGAGGGTTAGTTTTTTTAATTATTTTTTTGAAATTTTTGCATTATTATTAGGTTTTTCATATTGAAATTGATGATAAGTTTACTGGTGTTTTCAATAATAGATTAACCATTTCACTTAGATTGCTTATTATATTCATTCGATTGCTGTCAATACTGCTAAACTGTTAGTCTTTAACCCTGTGAAGTTAGTATTTGTCTTTGTTTTGTCTTTGGTTGAAGTAATACAATCCATTCAAGTTTCTTCAATTTTAGTATTTGAAACCGAGAATGACTATCGCAATGCGATTCTGTCGTTGTGATTTCATTTCGCGTTGCGATTCTTGCGTTGCGATAGTCAAATTCGCGTTGCGATAGTATTTTCATGTTGCGATTTTCATTTTCGTGTTGCGATTTAAGTTTCAGAAAATGTTCTTCTTCTGCAAATGAAACTTGAATGAATTGCATTATTTCAACCAAAAAACAAATACTAAATTCACAGTGTTGCAAATTTAAGTTTGAAGAATAAACTACTACTCTTTATGTTTATTGTTCATATCTTCACAGTGTATTTTTGGTATATCTAAATTGGTATGTTTATTGTTTTTGCAGAACTTTTATTCGGCTCAATTGACCTTAGAAATAAAGTAAGCCTGGCCTAAACAATTGCGTCGAAGCTTTCACCTGCACAAGAAAAATATTTGAGGATACTTGCTTCGGGCCATGGCTGAAAGTACAACATCCGGGTGGAGATGCTATGTTGACCCATCTGTTTCTTCAAACCACGCCTATCATGGTTTTCCTGGGTTTTTCCTGAGCTGTCAACGGGAGTCGAATTTACACGGGAAGACTTGACGAGATTATTGAATAAGAAAGATGGTTTTACTCGGATGGGATGACGTCGATGTTGTCCGAGTATGCCTTCTAATACTTTTTGCAGTCGGCTTTTTAGGCAGAGAGGCCCAACCTATTCCTAATGATCTAATTAAATTGGTAGAGGACCTAAATGCATGGAACTTGTTTCCGTGGGGTTCGTATCTATGGAGAGCTACATGAATAAGTTGTCGTTTGCCTTTAATGATCGGAAAAGTTTGCATGGCGATGGTTCCAAATACACTTTGTCAGGCTTTATTGGGCCTTAAGGTAATAATTTTTATAATTATATTAATTCTTTAACAATTACTAATGTTTGTATTATATTGTTTGTAGATTGGATATTTGAGGCCTTTCCCGCCATGCAGACATATGCATTAAAAACTTCTAATGATATCCTAGGGCTATTTACTGGAAGAGGAAACGATCCTTGCAGCAATGGGAAGATTTACTACCGTATACTACAATAAATAATGTAAGTTAACACAAATACTACCATATGTTTATAAACAGTTATTACTAGTACGTTTAACTTTGTTTGAGCTTTTATATTGTTAGGAGGCCAACACTCCTTACAGAGGCTGACACCCACGGAAGCTGAGCTTGCCACTGATTGGTGGCAAGCTATAAGTTTTTTTTTATGGCACGGATGAGAGACAGCCACCAATTCGAGAGCCGTCACCTCACCTAAGCCATCACCTGATCGACCCGAATATACACCTCCACAATGAGAGTCATCACCTATTATGTCATTACATCGAGCCTCTTCTCCACCATCACCTCATGATAGGCGACCGGCAAAGATGCCACGACGTTTATCTCCCTGTTCTCCACCTCCACATCCCGGGATGAGTTAGGGGAGTTTACGTAATGAGTCAATGCCTTACGTGAGAGGTCGGTACTTTACGCGATGACATGGTGCTGGCGTGTTGAGGTGTCTACTTTACGTGGTGAGGTAGCAGCTCTACGTGAGATTGTAGCATCGTTGTAGAATGAGGTTCATACTCTATGCAATGAGGTAAGTTTAATATTTTTCATATTTAACTTGATGATAAATTTACTCGTAATTTCACTTAGATTGCTTAGTAAATTCATTCGGTTGCTGCCAATACTGTTTAACTGTTAATTCTTTAACCCTGTGAAATTAGTATTTGTTTTTGGTTGTCTTTTGGTTGAAGTAATGCAATCCATTCAAGTTTCAATTTGCAGAGAAGAATAGTTTACTATCGCAATGCGAAAATGACTATCGCAACGCGAAAATGACTATCGCAACGAGAGAATCGCAATACGAAATGAAAATCGCAACAACAAAATCGCAATACGAAAATGACTATCGCAATGCGAAAATGACTATCGCAACAAAAGAATCGCAATGCGAAATGAAAATCGCATTGCGATTCTGGTTCGATAGTCAAATTCGTGCGATAGTCATTGCATTGCGATAGTCATTTTCGCGTTGCGATAGTCATTTTCGCGTTGCGATAGTCATTTTCGCGTTGCGATTTTAAGTTTCAGATTCTATTCTTCTTCTGCAAATTGAAACTTGAATGAATTGCATTACTCAACCAAAGACAAATACTAACTTCACAGTGTTAAAAATTTAAGTTTCAAGAATAAACTACTACTCTTTATGTTGTCATTGACCTCACTAAACCTATATGTTGTCTTTTAAATGTTTATATAAGTGCTTACTTCTGGAATGTTATCTGATGCATTTTGTGAACAATGATATAATAATGACTTGGGTGAATACCGTGCAAGTTTGAAATATATTTGTCTTTGTTTTCATTGTTTAATATCATGTCTGTTTATTTACTGATTTATGTATTAATTTATTTTTAGCGGCCCGCTAAGGTGGATGCTCTACGTCGGGTTTTTCTTACAAGACGGAGTTTACGTATCAGACGGCGTGCACGTGCCATTACATCTCCGTTCACCCCAATAGTGCGAAGAATCCGTAAGAAAAAGCCCGACTCACCTGTCATCGTTCAAGAGGCCTCCCCTATCGTTCAAGAGACCCCTATCATCCCTCAAGAGTCCCCTCCCACCGTTCAAGAGGCCACTGTCATCGTTGAAGAGGTCCCTCCCAACATTCTAGAGCCCGATTAACACGGCGTAATATATCGAATTATTGAGAACCCCCTCACGTACCGGACATGATGGATGACTGTTGGCTTTCATATAAGTTACCGGCCAGTACCATTCCGGCAGATGAAGTGGAGAGGAAACAACTACCGGAAACAATTCTGGATAATACTCTTTGGGCTAAGACCGCAGTTGATTTTTATCTACATGAGCGGAGCCAAGGGTGTTACGCTGACATATACAAACTCAACGATGATATGCATTTGTTGATTGAACGGTGAACGGTCTTGGTGGGGTGTATTATTAGGGGTTGAAGACAACGACTATTTTGAGGGGGGGTAAGTCTTATATTTCTTCTTATATTTCAGTTTAATTAAATTTTTTTAAAATTTATGTAATTCACTAATATATGCCTTTTTTTGTAAAACAGCATATTGATGCATGGGTGACACGTCTTCTAATTGTAAGGAAATTGAAGAAAAATATAAAAAAAATGTGATATACAATTATGCCGACATCTTTTCACGTAGTTCACTTGAAGAATCAATGACAGGAATCATATGTGTTGGCTAATGGACAAGCTACACTTTATCCTGCATGGTGGGAGGTCGATAAGGTTAGTATATTTTTTTAAATATTTTGAAGGTGTTCATAAATAAGTACGCAATTTGAATTATTACATTCGATACAGGTGTTTATCCCTGTTTTGGACCGTACTCATTGGCTTCGTCGAGCTTCAGCTCCCATCCCTAAAGACAATAGTATATGACAGCATGATAAATTACATATCATTGTCTGATTTGAGAGATATTATTAAGGGATGGAGCTCTCATTTGGCTAAATTCTTAGATGCAATTATT